GAAAAATCTGTCTTCTGCTACTGACACAAAGGCACTTTAACCTCATCCTTATTTGAATTTGCAGTAGGCTGTTGTACAGCATTATTCGGAATATGTAGCTGACACTCCTCACTGGAGCTAAGGCTGTCCTTCTCAGGACTTTTGCTGTCAGCAGGCATATACACATGGCTTTGATTCTGCTGCTCTGAGCAGAAGGTCTCAAAACAAGGGGCTCTCTTTCTTTCCTGAGAGCATCAAGCAAAGGAGTTCTCCCTCTTGTGGAGTCAAATGTAACTCCACTGGAAATTTTAAATTCCTCTTCCATGACCACACACACACTGAGACAAACAGGACCTAACTCCTAAGATAGTAAGAGAAAGGTGACTTTAATTTGCAGGTTTCCTTATGTGATGGCGTGGTATGGGCAAGAGCAATGGCTAATCAGAAATAAGGTAATATCATCATAACAAGCATATTTTGACCCAAGCATATACTGTGTCATTGCAACCAGGTTCTGAAATTCTTCTTTTGTGCTATTGTAGAAGCACATCCAAATGGGTCAGGCCTCTTGTTCAGCAGCTTGTCCTTGAACTTATGGTCATTACCATCAAATTTGTCTGTCTTCTATTTCTTAATGAGTCTTTGCACTTCCTCACTAAAGAAGAAGGATTTATTACAGTTTTAAAGGAGTGCATGTTCCTTTCCTTTTTTTCTGGTCTCTGCATGTGGGTAGAATGTTCTTAAACAGCCCCAAGCAGGTTTTTTCCAGTTTAAACTCTCTTTGCCCTCCTGCCAGCAGGTGTGGCTCACACTTGTTTTTGGCTATGTGAAATGAACGTTTCTGAGCACTATGTAAATATATTGCTGAATTAATCTTTGTTCTGTTTGTATGCTGAAGTATATACAGTTCCATCACTTGACAGAGAGCACATTTTGGGTGACCAGCTCTTTAAATGCCTACTAATTTCTACTGTGTTTTTTATTGAATTGTACCATGAACCGATTCATTCTCATTTATTCCTCCTGTTAGAAGAGGATTGACTTACAATCATTTACCTTAATGTTGACATCTCCTGTTTCAAAACCATGGTCAGGTAAACCAAATTCCAGTCCCTTCCTTTGACTCTAATACTGACCTTTCTAGGTAGCTAATAACCACACATTTCAGTAGCCCATGCATCTTTCATGTTTTTCAGTGACATCCATTACATTAAATGTGTGCTCCTAAATAAGTACTTCTAATTTTTTGTGGTTACAATCCAGGGTCCTAGTGTACAAGACAAAGAAGTTATTCTCCCCTTACTGTGTGGCATCTTTTTTAGCTTTGCGTTTTATTTTCCTCATTTGCCTTTCTTTTTTTTTTAATTTCAGAGCTTTTGAGCCACTTGCAAAATTATAGCACTTCACATAGTTGCTTGGCTGCCACTCCTCATAGGTCAAAAATCAATCCTGCAGGAAAAAAAGGGGAAGATTTACAAAACCTGGTAGCTTATCAGCTAGAGAACAGGGACTTGACAGATCTAGTACTACAGATTAAAAGATTGCGCAATACTACTTCTAAAGTTCTTGTTACACAACGAAGGTAAATTTCAAGAAAAGATATGTAGGAAGTGTCTTCAGTTTCAAGTCACAAATGCGCCAAAGGCACTTCATCCTGTAACAGAGCTGTGACCTGGCCAGTGTCAGGTCATGCATCTCTCGGGTTGTTTCACACTTCAGTAGACACATCCTACCTAATGTGTGAAGGTATTTCTTCACCTCTATAGCCAGGGAGCACACAATAGCCCTTATGCTCTTCAGGCTCACAAAGCCCAGACATCTTCAGACTTTCTGTGGCTGATTGATAGTCTTTCCTCTGTCAACACCAACTTCTGTTTTCCTTTGTTGACACAGAAATGGAATCTGATACCAATTCTCCCATTTTTATTCAAAGAACTGTGATTCTTCACAAAAAGCAAGAATCCTGTATTTCCTTGATTCCTAAAGAAGAGCTAGTATGACTCCCAAGTACTGTATTGGCCCAGCTTTTGCCCCTGAAAGACCCTTCCAGAGCTCTGCATATGGGCTGTTCTCCAGGGTCTCTTGTCTCTGCAGCCTGCCAGGCTCCCATTACGCATTGCAGCGCAGCCTGCACTGCCATGGGCTACGTCTTCCACAAGCTTCCAGTGTTACCCATACCCCTTTCCCTTCCACCACAGAGATGCCAGCTGACAAACTAGATGTCAGACAGCCTCCTCCCAATATTTTGTTATGTAGTGATGAGATACTTAGCCTGGATGCCACGACAGTCTCTGAAAAAGTAAAAACTGTTTATTGTTTGACTGCATAATTGAGCATCTGTGAATAATGTAAAAAAATGTGTTTACTCTTAGAACAAGAAAGTGTTTGGGTAAAGAATTGCTCATAATTGCAGTGAGAAAGAGTCCCACCTGGAGTAACTAGAAATTTTTCCTTCCATAAATGCTTATTTTGTTGTGTTATAGAGAACACAAATAAGAGTTAGAGTCTCATTGCTCTCCTGGCAAACTGACTTGTGAGATGTCAGGCAGGGCAAATTTCATTCACAGTACTATTTTTATGCTTTAAAGCCACACAACTACAGCATTTGCCAAGGATCAAATGTTTATTTAAACACTTCAGCATCTATGACTTCCTTTAGATATTTGACAATAACTTACATGCATTATTTGTAAGGAGTGAAAAATCAACAAACACATTAACATTTCTGAGATTCCGATGTCCATAGAGAATTTCAGTAACATTATTCACATTTATAATGTTGCATCTGACTACTACTTTCCTTCTGTCCAGAAAGAAAGAAAACAAAGGCTTTGTCATGCCTGGAAAGTTAACAGATTCCTGCAAAAACAGATTTTGGCAAAAAACCAGACAAAGAAATTTCTCAGCTCGGAATTCTCCATGGAAATGGTCTTAGTCTGTAGCCCTTATTACACTACCTGTAGTGCCTGCTGTTACCACCCGAGATGTCACCTCAGGTGTTTCAAATCACTTAGGAACTTTGGTCCTACAAGGAGAAACTTCAGAGGATGGTACAGTGCTGTCTCGGCATGACACATAGCTCAGCACCAAGCACAACTTTGAACTCTGTGGAGGCAAAGATTGTCGTGTTTATTTTGGTAATGACTAGTAGGGTTTGTACTCTCTTTGTGACCTGATACAGTCTGGGACCGCGGCTCTGTCATTAACCAGTGCTTTATAAGACACAGGGCAAACCCATAATATTTCCGTACAATTGTAGAGCAGGATCAAAATGGTGCTATACTGTAGTAGAGGCATGTGTTGTGTGTGTGTAGAGTACATGGGGATGTTCTGAGTTGGGCAAACTAAACTACACCCTAGGTCTTCTTTCCTCTTCGTGTTTTTTGATTGTGATACTTAAGTGATTTTACTGCTCAAAAGCTGTGGCTTCCAAAAAGCAAAACATGCATCTCTAACATCTTCTTGTTTACCTTAATTTAGTGCATTTTTATTGTTCATACTTCATATCAAAAGAAAACCCCGCTGAAAGGAAACTGCCACAGCAGATGGCATTGAAATGCAAATAGAAGGTTTCACAGGAGCCCTGTCAGCAAACACTGTGTTGGAGATGCGAAAAGGCACAATCCTGCAAATGACTTCACAATGTGGGGAGAGAATAAAGAGAGGTTTAAGTAGCGACGATTGCCTATTCCATTGCTCTTTCTCTGGGCAGACATCAATAAAAGACAATAATGCTAGAAGCTACAGGGACTTGTATAAGATTAAATTACCTTAACTGGGGTTAATTGAATAGGACTGATGAAACTCAAATTAGAAACAATGTATGTTATATTCAAATATAATTACAGAAAGGAAGTACGACTTGCCAACAAGGATAACAAATGGTACTATATATCAACAAAGCATATTAGAGCTGGAGCAGCTGTTTTTATGGTCTAGGTTGCAAGGCTGACAGCTTTTTTTTAATGGCAGTTATCATCTGTTCCATTTCAGGAGACTAAGAATTAGGACTAGTGGCACATTCCTGCGTGCCACACTGAAAAACTTAATGTTCAAGAGAACGATCCTAGTTCTTAACTGCCCTTTTCTTTCATGGCACCCACGGGTGGGTGCACTTGTCCGGTGCACGTGCCTGTGCTGGGTATTGTGCAACAGGCACCGACGTGACTTGAAGACCCGGCAGCCGGTGCTGGAGGGTCTCTGGATGCTCAGTAGGAGACCTGCAGGTTACCTTGCCAGCAGGAACTGGCGAGGCCTGAAGGGTTGGGCAGGGGCTCAAGGGATTTTGTAAACATCGATTTTGATTTCTCCTTGTGAATTCCTTAAATAAATTCCCCTGTGGAAAAAATTAGTGTGATTCATGGGGTCACAGCTTTGATACTTCTAGGCAAGCAATGGACAGTATGAAAAGGTGAAGTGGTTTCCCTGAATATATGCTAGCTGGCACATGACTCAGTTCCTTACAGTGCTCCACAGCAGGTTGTTCTGCTGGAAAGCAAAAGTACTTCAGTTACAATGATATAATTTATTCATTGAAAATACCCCTTCCGCAAAAGGGTAATGAATGTGGGATATCGTCAAATGAGAATTTCTCACAGAATTTAAATGACTGAAAACTTTGGGTTTCTCCTTTTGGTAAACTATGTATGCCAGGAATTATGCATTAGAATAGTTTAACACTAATACTACATTGACTCAAAGCATGTTTACCAGTTTGAATTATATATTTTTTACTTTGGCTAAGAATTTAGTTACATTTTTAGAAGTACACTGTAGCTTCTAATTCCCAACTCAGGTTTTGAATCTTGCAAATATTTGGTTTGTCTTTTGTTATATTTATCAAGTTATTTGTTAGGATTGTGACTAGACCTAATACTTTTTATTATGATTTTGCAATTGATCTAATTTTTAGCATTTATCTACTAATAAATGTTTGTTCATACAGTGCTTTATAGTTTCAAAGTGTTACATGATAACTCGCTATTAACAAACAGAATTTAAAAAAAAATCCTGTAAAATAGAGTCGTTCATAAAACAAGCACAAGTTAACAGACATCAAAATGATGCATAGTACAGTGGTTAGTGCTTTAGTATAACTGAACACATGAGGAGAACTTCAGATGATAAAAATTGCTCCAGACAGGAAATGTCAAGGCACAACTCTCAATGTCAAGGCAACTCTATTTACTCTTAGCTGCTGGAGGTTCCATGTCTATGTCCAGGTCGGACAGAGCACAGTAGAAGAGCATCTGAACATATTTTGTTGTTGTCGCTGTAATACATAGCAAAAATGTGTGAGACAAAGTTATAATATATCTTAGGTAAATATACAGATTTTGAGGATTTGAAAACACTACACAGATATTAGGAAAATCTTAAAACACCTTAATCAACTGGATTAAGCACATGTTATGAATCACTAAAGGCAAAAGGAGCTTAATAATTGAACAGAAAGTCTTGTTTAATCAGACTTTCATCAACATTTTCTTTGAATTGTCAGATTGATAGCTGAGTTCAAACTGAATAAAAATATTAAAGTTTTGCTTTTCAAGATTGCCTGAATTTGAGGAGTGGAAACTACCTTTCAGGCCAATAATTCATTATTTCAGAATTTACAGAAATGCACAGACTCCTCTGACTCAGATGTTCCATTCCTTTGACATAAAGTGAAGTAATGGTGTCCTGGTATTTCCGCCTTCCAGAGTATCAAACTGCATACATTCAGTCTTCACAATCCTACGTGGCTTTTACTGAGCCGATGTATTGAAATGGCTCAACACGACAAATATTAGATGACTATATTATATCCACATATTAGACTATTTTGTACAGGTATGCATGGTTTTGTTTTCAGGACCATGTGGTGAAGCAAATGATCTCAGACATGCCATATATAAAAGCATAGCAAAACTTCATAAAGAAAAAGGATTCTGGGAAAAATTACTCTTTCTTTCTTCTGACCAAGCATTCAAGATTTTGGCACACTGACTAGGACAAGATGATGTTGCTTACCAGAGAGCCACTGTAGACATTTAGGTCGTTTATCAAATGGCAGATAGACTCCCAAATAATACGCAGGAATGCCTGAGAGGGCAATACCAACGCCAATAAGGGAATTGATTGTGTCGCTGTAGAGAGGAACTATGACCAGGAAAAGGGAACATAAACAGTATACTATAGGGAAGAAGAGGTTAAGCTATGGAGAAAAAAAAAAAAAAATCCAACATTTATTAAAACATGCAGTAAATACTCTATTGTAAAAAATGTCAGGCTTTGCAGATTAAAGTTAGACATGTCAATAACAAAAATACAGCTATTGACTATATGACTACTATGAACTGAATCTTTTGACTGCCTACAGTCAGTGCAATTTTCTAGCTTCTGTGTATGCCGCTGAGAACCTCTTATTTGGTACACATCTGAGTATCTGACCATTTTGTTGTTTTCAGGCCTGGACAAGGTCAATTCCTTTCCAGTTAGTAAGAAATCAATCTTTGAAAGCGGTGCTTAAAACTGAGTAGTAACAGGTAGTTTTCCCTCTAACTTCAAGTGCAAATTTTTAATTGTAGTTTTGATTGGGAACTAACTCAGCTAGACTTTCAATTACCATGTTGATGCTACAGAACTAAGTGCCTGGGCACTTAACAAATATCATAGCACAAATAAGGAAAGTTGCAATAACCTCTTTATGGATTTATTTTTCACTATAATATTTTTCACTGGCTGTAGTGATGAGCCTTCTCAACAGTCCAGGAGCTGACATTTGAATACTAGCTGAAACTCCTGGGAGTTTACTGGTATAAATATTTCTTTTTCCTTATAAAGGTTAAAAATGCAAGTTAATGGAAACCCACTGCTACATTTCAGAAAAGGAAAAAGTGTATGCGGAGTTGTGACATTGACTAAGCTGGCAAATGCTGATAGGAATTAAACAGTCATTATCTATAATCTGACTGTAATCCTTACTTTAGTAGAGTCAGTAGCAAAACTGCCAATAAGGCAAGATTTAGTCTTTATCTTCCATGTATTTTGGGGCAGATTTTGGAAATGAAGTGTGAACATTCTTCAGGAAAATTTGGTCTGCTCTGGAAGACTGGAAAGTTTTCAATCAGTAGGTGCTTAGGATATTTTATGCTTTTGTTTGAACCATGTGTTTTTTATAATCAGAATGTAACAGTTAGATGGAAAAAAAAGTGTTGGTAAAAATTGTGCAGGAGGTTAGGAAGAGAGAGTGATGAGGAAGAAATGTTTAGATTGGGTGTTAATTTGGATTTCTCATAATTTTTACTGCATCACTGCAGAATCAAAATGCAGGTCATGGAGCCAACAGAGCACAGTGAAATGGGAGCCAGCGTGTGGTTTTGTGTGCCTGTGGGAAGCTGTGCGTTTCCGTCCCTGCTTCCTGGATAATCACTGGATTAAAACTAGAAACAATTTTTAGGCACGTTTTGTTTCTGTGCAGTCTCCCTCTCCTAACTGATAGCTAGATGCTTTTCTACAGTCTGTCATTAAACTTGCATGTTACTGTCTATGACCCCTATGCAGTGGGAGGAACAATCAAAATATATTTGATTATTCAAGCTTTTGAACTTCTGCAGGAGCTCTACTGAGGTCTGCTCTGAACAATACAAATGGGGGTTGTTCCAGGATGGGCTAAGGACCCCAGGCATTTATTTATTCCTTTTTTATTTTGAAATAAGTATAGTTATAAAGTTGAATGAAAGGAAAAACAAAATGGTAAATATAATTGCAACCTCATAGCAAAAGTACCAGAACAGATGTTCTTGTGGCAACTCAAATGGGTGTTGCTGCTTCATTTCTTACCTTTTATGTTGAAAGGATTTCTATGGCTGATAAATAAGTCTATAACATAACTGGCAATGTTATGGGTGTGGTATTAAGGATCAGACAAACACATGCACTAGCTGGCTTTTAGGGCTTGTTTCCTCTCTTGTTTACTTACTTTGATAGGCCGTGGTCTACGTGGCTGAGTATATCTCAAATATATTAGTCCTGCAATAGACAGACCCACAAAGAGCCAGTAGTTGAAGCAGTAGTAATTAATAAGGAGGAAAACATCTTCCACAAGGAGATAAAGCAAAGTCATTAAGCCCTAGGGGTAATAAAAACAAAGACTTTTTAATGTGAAAATAAAGAAATGTCTTATAAAATAAAGAGGTAGTAAAGTTATAAAACAGCCTGTTTCCAATATATTTGTCTGGACTTAAGAGATCGGGCCTTTGCAAGAAGGATGTACTTAAAACTCTGAGAAATCTGCAAATATGCCACGTGAAACGTGCTGGTATCTATTCCTTAAACACAGCAATGAGACCACCACATTTGGCTGAAGAGGTGTCGGGTTTGAGAAGTTACTTTTCAGCAGGAGGAGGAAACCCTCCTAAGAAGACCAGATAAGGAGCCTCAGACGCTGCTGCACTATGGAGAAGGCTGCTAAGAAGGTTTCTGTCGGCAGCGGCTCACCCTGCTGTTCTGGCTGGCTTCAGTTTGAAAGCAAACTTTTAATTTAGTTTCACTGTTGGAGGCTTTCACAGTCCACTCATACACTGAGACCATTAGAGTAAATTCTGTGGTATGCAGGTATGCTATACTGCCTGCACGGAAAGACCTAAAATACCACGAATTTAATGTCTGTCTTAACAGATGAGCAGAACTAAGTTCCACTGTGAAAAACATGAATGGTGGTGTATTAAGGGAATATACCTCATCTTACTGGTGCAAAAAGAATCCCTCTAAGAAGAGTATTCATAATGAGATTAAAAATTGTAGTAAATCTTTTGATGTCAAACAGGACTGGCATAATAATCCATTTATAAACCATATGTAACACAGGGCAATGGAAGACACCAAATAAAATACACGTTCAAATAAACAGCAGTGAAATGCTTTTGAATGATTCTACCTTCTCTGTTTGTGCATATCCTCCCCCTTGTTTTAATCTGTTAGATTTATGGATTATTTATTAAGACCATTTGCACTAATTCTATACCTTATGGTTCCTCGACTTTGTGTCACAAGATTCATTTGTATAGTGACAGCAAGAGAAAAACTCAATATGGCTATAGGCATCCAATGGTAGGAATTTAATTTTAAGTGCTTTGTCACTCCTGTTATAACTAGAGTCCTAGAAAATAAGCCTCCGGCAGTGACTCAGAAATATTCCTGCCATATTCTTCTCCAGTGACACTCTGAAAACTCACGTAAAGACTTAAACAACTCTTGTCTATACTGTTACATATTTAGCCATTCTCTGTTTTCTAAGTAATGCTACCGCACTTCTCACTAATCTTGTTCAGAGAGCATATGAATGTGAATCAAGCCATTCTCTTTCCCCTGAAAAAAACCCCACCAGACAAAATAATGAAACCACCCTTAATGAGTTTTAGAAATTGAGAGCATTTGAGGAAGATGTCTCCAGCGCAGGAGGCGCCCAGGAGAAACACCAGGCAGAGGCGAGGTGTTATACTCCCCAGGTCCGAACCCCTGGCTGTCCCCCCCGCCAGGCATGGGGCCGGGCTGTCACTTACATTGAAGAGGAGAGCAGGGACTGGTGTGAAGCACTTTATATGAATCAAGCTCAGACTATCAGGGAGATGGCCTTCCCTGGCTCCAACGTAAAAAAGCCTAAAAAAAAAAGAATAAGAAAACTCAACCAGACAGTGAGCCAAGGAATAGCTTGTTGCTTTCTGACAAAGGCAGCATTAATTCTTTTATTAGTGTGTTGTAAATCCTGCTGTCTTCTCAAGTGGCTTTAGTTTATCAATTGGTGCTGATCTTGAGAAGACATGTCAGATCATAACAATCCTTCCATCATAAATGAACAACTGGACATGGCAACAATTAACTGTGTCACTTTTACAATGTAGTAGTAAAGAATGCAGATTAATAATAAATAATTCCTTCTCAGTTATTTAAAATAAATCTTATATTTCATACCTAGATGCTGCAATTATTGATGAGTTTAAGCCACTATAGCAAGACATGGCCACTGCTATAGGAATTATCCACTTAGCATAACTAAGGGTTTCACCGCCAAATGTCTGTAACAGAAAAAGAAAACAATAATGATGCCTGTTACCTTAAGCGTATGGACAATCCTGAGAAACTCTCATGAAAACACACCAGCCCAAATATATTGCCATAGCCCATGCTTTCTTATGACACCCGATAACAACTTGGGAAATTAGAATTTGGAAAAACTGATCAGTATCAAAATAAAAATGGAGATACATTAAAAAAAAGAATTTTAAAAGAAGTTTCTAAGCCTAGACCAAGTCAATGAGATAATGGAAGAAGATGTATTGACTTCAATGTATTCTGACAAATTCTGACATTAGTAATCCATGAGTTATAATTGTACTTTTGTATAAAATATTGATAAGGATTTAAAAAGCATTTCACTGCACATTTTTGTGTTGAAAATTTTGCTGTGATCCTGAAGCATTAAACATCACACACTGTACAGTAGAATGATAGCAAAAAACCTTGGTTCTTAAAGCACCCAGAATCCCCATAGCTCTTTCTCTGTCTGGCCCTGGCAAAAGCGTCTTCTACAATGAAGTACTGTTAGGAGCAGGATTTACAGAGTATATAAGAGGATTTTACAAGAGCAGATTTATTGGATATGTTCTTTATATGCACCTTCTAATATACTGGTGCTCTTACATGAAAACAAAGTTTAAAACAAAGCAACAACCTTCAGCATGGAAATATTTGAATTGTTTTGCCAAGAAGTATGCTACCTGAGATTCTTCTGCAGTGTCATCCATACAGTAACTTGTGTTCTAATTATTTTATACAACTTACCACAGCCACTGCATCACTTGTGAGGATAGCTGACATGTCCAACACTACGTAGTATGCGATATTAGTCAACAAGTAAATAATAGTCACAATAGGCATTGAAATTGCAATAGAAAGAGGTAGATTCCTGTAAAAGGAAAACGGCAAAATTATTTCATGTTCTTTAAATAAGGAATATTTAAAGAGAAGATTGTTCCCAAATTCAAACATTTGTGAATGGATACCTCCATCACTTTTTGTAATCCATCATTTTGTAATCATGGGGTTATAAAATAATGTGCAGCCATGGGTGGAACTATTCCATAAGCAGCTTAGTTGACTGCTTGTGGATCTGTCACAAGTTTTAGAGAAAAAAATGTACATTTATACCTGTAAATTTTATATACTGTCTTTTATATGAAGCAATTTAAGAGCAATTTGACTAATTTCCAGTCAGAAACAAATACAGAGCGGCTTGTCCTGCCATCACCTGTCTTACCAGGACGCTTCAGTGATTCAAAGGAAAAGAACATGTTTACCTCTCGGGATTCTGCATTTCCTCAGTGACGTAGTTGAGTGTGTCCCATCCCGAGTAGGAGAAGAGGGCAGAGTAGAGAGCCAGCGCGATCATCCCTGGGTTTGTGGCTGAGCCCTCGAATGGAGCTCTCAGGTTTTCCGTTTCTCCTGTACAAACCACAGGGACCGATTGCCTGTTACGTTTCAAGGACTACGACATAGAAGGACACTACACTGAAAGTCTCAGCTAACCAAAAGGAAATAATACCCCACTGCATCCAGGTTTCCTTACTATTTCTAAAAGTGCACAGCTTATATTTTCACTTGACAAATGGGAAAGTTTCAGTCAGACGTTCAGACAGCTACACTTGTACAGGGAGACAACAGAAGACATTTTCCCATGTCTGGTATTTGGATGTGACTTGTGTGGTTCTACCAAAATTCACGGCGTCCTTGTCTCCTGGCATCACTGTCTAGCCTACAGAAGGAGGGAGCCATACTGAGGTCATGCTACGCCCTGTCAGCCAGGCAGAGGCACTTGGGAAACCCAGATTCAGTTCCTGAATCTGTCTCATATTTCTTCCTTATCTCTGTGCTTTTGTTTTCACCAGATGAATTAGTGGCCACTGGAGGAGGAACTCCTGGAGGCATGGTTCTCAGTGGGATGCTCTGCCCCACAAAGGTGTTCCCCAAAATTAAGAGAGGAGACTTAAAAAATCTTTCCTTTCAAAATTCTCCTCTAGTTTACCTCAATTGGTTGAGATGACAACCTGCAGAATGCTGCAAAATAGGAGAAACGTTAACGAAACTGTGTGAGCCTTCACTGTGATTCTGGAAAGGGGAAGAAAGGCCTTACTGACTTTGCAGAAGGAAAGTCAACTACCTAATATAAATGGAAGTGGGTGAAGTATTAAGGAAGACAGAAACATGCTGAAACCTCTATTAGGGAAGAAAGTAAGGTCTTTGTTGTAAAGTGAAACAATTTCACCCTGTGGTTAAACTAAGGAGTTTACAGATACCACAAAAGCAATTCAGTCTTTGAAGAGCAGTAACTACCAGGAGACTGTTTGAACCGAGGAAAGTGAAGCTACAAGATGTACACACATTTTGGGGAAGATAATGGCTGGAAGGAAGGAAATGAAAAATCCAAAAGGACCAAGAAAAGCTTTTTTTAATAAAGACAGCTCATACTCAAAATCAGATACATTCACAGTGTTTTAAAACAAGAGGCGTGTCTGAGCACACCAGAAGGAATACAGCAGGGCTAAAACGTCATAACTGTCCTTTTAGTTAAAACAGCTGCTGAGTTTAAAAGAGTGCATTGACCTGATCACAGCTTCCTCCAGAAGTCTACATTATTCCTCCTCCCAGTCCTTTCTATATTTAAGTGCTCGGTTCTGCTTAAACAAAGCAGATGAGACCTTTACTACCAGTAAAGCCCTCAGCGGTTTGTGTTTCCTCACAGTAATGTTTCCTCTCCACCTTCACCCTCCCTCACCCCATGGAGCAATGTAAAGGAACATCCATGGGCTATACGGATGCAGGAGCAGAGGCAACGGCCGCTGGGCCAAACTGTATGGTGGCAGCTGCACACCAGTGAGTGGGCCGGGAGTTTTGAAGGAGGAGATTCAAAAGCATGGGTAAATTTGGGACTGTGGGGACAGGGCAAAGCTGCTATAGGGGTGACATCACAGGCTCACACCTTTGTAAAACTGCAGCAGCTTTATGAGGGAAACTACTCCTTCACTTAACTGTGGCCCTTAAGCAATGCTTTTCCTCTGCATCTTCACGTTCCTGCCTTTAGGACTGGGTTCATTTGATCAGGTTTCTTTAGACTTGAACAAACCGGTGACAACTGACATGCATGGACAATGGCTAAACAAAAAAGCTCTCTTAAAGTCTGGTGTAGCTTTGCAGCGTAACAGGTGATGCAACTGCAGCCAGGGAAAGGAGAAGGCCAGCAAACATGGAAAAGCAAGCATGCGTGTTAGGTTTTATAAGACAGTTTCAGCAAGAGAAAAAGACAATTCCTAAACTGAAGAGGGGAAACCATCTTTATTTCAACTGAATAAAGATACAATGGCTATTTAAGAATTTCATGGGAAAGGAAAACGGAGAAACCTTAGTAACTAAGCAACAGAGCTAGAGTTGGAAGAGACTTCACTGTACCAGAGGCCCAAATAAATAAAAGCAAATCTATTGTCATATGCAAAGATCAGAGGTAGCACAGGAATAAACTGGTCTCCATCCTTTCAGTGCATTCAGTTCAGTCCAGCTATTGATGATAGGAGGTGTCTCATCTGTCCTGTGATGTCTTACAATACCAGAGTGAATCACAGGACTGCACTATTACAGCCTTCTCCCTTGTTTCTAGGAACAAGCACGCCCTCTCACCAATGAAGGAAAGGACAAGTTCCTTCCCTCCTGATCCTCTCCCCTCGCAGGGCACTCCGGTGGCTCTCTGCCATGGGCAGGGCAGGAAAAGCTAGGGGTGAGAAGTGATGCAAAGGACGCATCCAGCAATTTCTGCTGTGCTGTCCTGTCATAGGACAAGTAGCAACATTAGCCTTTAACAAGCATGAGTCAGGGAAACAAGGCTGACACTAAACTAGTTAGCACTAAACTGATATTAATTCAGCTGCTATTTGCTCTTCAGCCCAAGCAATGAAGAACATGGCGTGTGTTGGTTTGCCACACTAAGGACAGAAGAATAATTAAACCCCCATTGCTTAACAAGTCATAAAGTTCCTCTGATCTTCCTATGGCAGACAGTTTTTTCCAGAATAAACAACACTTCATATGTAAGTGTTAAACAGTCTGATCTTCCTGCACAGATTTTGAAACTCATATATGGTTCATTTTTAAGAATTTAAGTAAATGAAAATTATTCTTACCTTTACCAATTTTGTAAAGGCCAACAGATATCACCAAGATAAGAGCCATAACTTTTGCATATGTGAAAACATCTTGTACACGGGTTCCCCACTTCACGTTAACACAATTAATAAATGTTAAGGAACCTGCAGAGAAAAAGAATCTGCATGAAAGGAGCACTGTATGTTTTACGTCACTTAAAGTATATTTCAAATCATCCTTCCAGATACCACCCGTCTTTCAAGGAATAAAACAGAATCAAATTTCACCATTTCAGGACCACCTATTATTAAAATGAATGAAATACTTGGTTTAAAATTTACACAATTATTTTCTGAAGGATACTATTTTCATGACAAAAGACATCAGCTTTTGAATTTTAGGACTAACTCCTGCTCCTTTTAAGTAATCTTTAAATTTCATTAAAGTCAACAGAGTTGCTCACATGCAGAAGGTGAGATTTCTTTATATCTTTTGTTTGAACTGAAGTTTTTCCTGGTTTTCCATGCTGATTTGAGCTCTAGTCTATGTACAGAGTAAGGACAGCTCCTGCACCAAAAAGTTTGAATGCTGTGGACAAGATCCTGAACTAAGCCAGGCCAGCACACTGTTACTGTGTGCCCATGGCTTAGAAGCTGTGTCGTTCACACTTTGACCCTGAGTCTGAGGATTACAGAAGTACTTACAGAGTTCTCTCAAGCCTCAATTTTGACAGAATCTAATAGAAATAGCAAAGTAGTTGGTTGCAGAGGGTGGGTGGGATCAACTTGTTCTCCTTTCCTCCTTCTGCCATATTCTTTGTATTCAGTTTTGTCGCAGAATTTAAACCCCAGTGAGAGGATAAAGCGCTGTGATGAATGTTGCTGCTTGGCTGGCAGCAGGTCCAGCCAGGGGCTGAGCCACATGCCCACCTCCTCTCTCTCTAGCACACACACATGGCACCATGAGAAACTTATCTCTCTTGCACTTTCATAATTCAAAACAGAGATAGATGAGGAAAGGTAAGGCTATGCATTAGTACCAGATATGAAGCCCAGCTGCTGGAGAAGAGAGCAGGACAAATGCAGCATGGGCAGTGCAGAGTGCTCTCAAGGATGGATCAGAATGGCCTATTTCTTCTCTAGCACTCTTGTTGGTCTTTGCTTCTGTTTCTTTGACCTGCCTATAATCTACACTTCAGTTTTGAAAGGAAAGAAAAGGATTTTGTAATGCTTAAAGTGAAAACCATTTAGAAACCTTTTGATATAGTAAGGAAATTAGCACCCAACTACAGATGCTCAAAGAACTTCTTGCTTTCATTATCATGAGTGATTATGCATATTTGAAAGAGTGTCCTGTCAGCTGTCAATGTAATAATAGACCTATTTACAGAAGCGGGACCTGATTTGCCCCCACTATTTCCTGTTAAAATACCAATACTGTTCAATGGGGACAGAATGTTGTTTTTATTCTGGTATTAAAAAAACCCAATAGGTCATATAACGATTGTTCATGCCTAGGGTCAGGTTTGAATATAATTTTTAAATGTCTGTAAATAATGACTTCTGTAAACCTTGCTCTAGTAAAGGAAGGAGGGGTGGAGGGATCACCCTCTACGTCAAGAAGTGGATATAGTGAAGAGCTGTCTCTGAAGAATAGACACGAGCAGGTTGAAAGCTTATGGGTAAGAATTAGAGACCGAGACAACAAAGGGAACCTTGTGGTTGGTGTCTACTACAGGCCTCCTGATCAAAAGGAGCCTATTGGCAAAGCCTTCTTGCTCCAGCCACAGCAGGCATCACACTTGCAGGCTGTCATCCTGCTGGTGGACTTCAACCACCCTCACATCTGCTGGAAAAGTAGCACGGCAAGCTGTAGGCAATCCAGGAGATACCTGAAGTGCATTGAGGATAACTTCTTAAGGCAGGTAATAGACAGCCCTACAAGAGGGAATGCGATACTGGGCCTGATGGTCACCAATGCAAGTGAGCTAACTGGGGATGTCAAGACTGGAGGCAGCCTGGGCTGCAGTGATCATGCACTGGTGGAGTTCACAGTCCTGAGGGGTATGGGTCAGGTGAAGAGTAAAGTCAGGACCCTGAATTTGAGGAAAGCAACATTCCAGCTGTTCAAGGAGTTAGTCAAGAGGAACCCCTGGAAACTGCCCTCAGGGACAAGGGAACAGAACAGAGCTGGCAGATCTTTAAGGACGCTTTCCATAGAGCGCAAGAGCTCTCAATCCCCACGTGTAAGAAATCAGGAAAAGAACGCAAGAGACCAGCATGGCTGAGTCAAGACCTGCTGGTCAAACTAAAGGGCAAGAAGGAAATGCACAGGCAGTGGAAGCAGGGTCAGGTATCCTGGGAAGAGTATAGGGATGCTGCCCAGTTGTGTAGGGATGGGGTCAGGAAGGCCAAGGCGCGGCTGGAGATGAACTTGGCAAGGGATGCAAAGAATGGATTGCACCCATTTTTAAAAAAGGGCCAAAAGGAGGACCCTGGGAACTACCAACCTGTCAGCCTCACCTCTGTGCCTATGAAGATCATGGAACAGATCCTCCTAGAAGCTATGCTAAGGCACATGGAGGACAGGCAGGTGATTCGAGACAGCCAGCATGGCTCCTCCAAGGGCAAGTCTTGCCTGACCAACCTAGTGGCCCTCTATGATGGAGTGACTACATCAGTGCACAAGGGAAGAGGTACAGATCTTGTCTATCTGGAATTCTGTAAGGCCTTTGACACGTGCCCCACAGCATCCTTCTCTCTAAACTGGAGAGAGATGCATTTGGTGGATGGACTGTTCGGTAGATGAGGAACTGGCTGGATGATCGCATCCAGAGGATAGTGGTCAACAGCTCAATGTCCAGATGGAGATCAGTGACAAG